AATTGCTAGTCATGGTCAAAAAATAATTGATGGTGCAAAGGTTGTGATCAATACTGGTGAAGCGATACAAGTTGGAAGTGAATTATATGACGTTTATGGAAAAACTACAGACGAAATCGAACGCTTATCCACACTTTATCATAATTCTCATAAAAGAAGGACCAGCTACGATAATGCCTGTCCGATTTGCAGAGGTGATATCTAAATTAACCCGACCAATTTTCTTTCACTTTTTGTTTTCTTTTTTTATCGCAAATACAAGAATAGTACTTGTAAATATTATTGTTTTCTTTATATAAATTTCAACAAGTTTTACTTCATTAAAGCTTTTTTTTTTATTTAAATTTCTTTATTTACGACAATTTTCAATAAAATTATATACGCGTTAATAAAATTTTTATTATTTGAATTTAAATAAAATTTTAGTGATTTTTTTTTAGTAAGCTGGTTTTTGTTTATAATTTATATTTTTTTCATGCTGGGCCATTTCTTTTCTCTTGCAATTAGGGTAAACGTAAAGATCGTTTTAATAAATCACGTGCTTTGCTGTCTTTTATTAATTCCTATCTCAGGCTTTAAGTTAGATTATCGCATCAAATATGTAGTTTTTTTTTGAACATGTATGTTTATGTACATATAAAAAATATGGCAGTGTAACTTTTTTCATCCATCTGAAATAATATTAAATCAATCAAACTCCAAAGGTAGTATCCTAACCACGTGGATTGTAGAGTTACAAGAAAACAAACTTATTGGCATTATGCTTTGATCTTTAATTCATATAAAGAAAATTACAATACCAGTTTAATTCATTTGACAATAATGATTTTCAGAATGAATACAGTATATGTTTCTAATCAATATGATATTTTAAAATGCTTTTAATATGTAATAATCCAGATTAATTATAAATTCAAATTATTTTTAATTATTCTGTTCAAATGTTATACAAATTTCTAATTTATTTTTTTTCAAAAAAGTTTGAAATCAATAGTTAAATAATTTGAAATTGATTCAAATACAATTAATATTTTATCTGCTTTTAAGACATTTCTGTGAAGCTTAAATTTTAACTAGAAAAACAAAATATCAAAGAAAAATTTTATTTTAACTACTGTCAGGTCTACAACTTGGATTATATTATAAAATCTATAAAATATAAAATCAAAAAACTGATTAACAAAGCTCTTTTTATCACTTATATTAGATTTATAGATCTTAATCTTCACAAATACTGGCAAGTAGCTTAACTATTAAAATATAGGTTTATAACAAATTCTGTTTATATTTATACTTGAATTATTGTTAAATACTTGTTAAATATCTTTTATAGTCTATTTATCACTTAGTAGTATAGTAGAATATTTATTTCTTATATATGATTATATGGCAAAATTAGATTTTGCCCATGAACAATATTTATAACCAAT